ATTTATTGACTCTTTTACAACAGTCCGTTGGCTACATTTGAAATCGCTTAGCTATTACTCTTATTCTTGAAGTTTTTTCCAATCCACTACCGCAGGAAACCAAAGAAAACTTATAAAAAATCAGATTATGTTTGCGTAAATTTTTTTACAACAGTAATGCCTGCGTTATTATACTTATTTACTTTTGTAATTTCCTCATGAATCTATGCTGCTCATGTTCTGTTTTGCGAGCAAATTAGTGGCATATTTTATGGCACTCCTTGCTGCCTGGTGTTTATTATGAGAGAATATTAAGATAGCAAAGCGAATCAGTCTCCGGGGAAGGCAAATGATTTATAGCCTGGAGTTTTGACTTTCAAATCCCGTAACCGACTAATTTTTCAGTTTCAAAGTTTTTCTAGTATTTGGTTAATTTGAAGCTCCCTTTTGCAGCTGTTTGTTTTTTTGCTTTGTCAAGAACAGCTTCGTGACTTTTTTGATGTAACCGGGACGTTCTGTGAATTGATTATTAAAGTCTGTGCTACTTGCATAGCAAACTCTACCCTGGCACTTTTGTTGGATCACCATTTTGAGCAGTAAGGATTTAACACAATTTCTAGAGGTTTTTTTGAAGTTTTGACTGCTTAGGCATATTAAGAGTGAAGATTAATTGAAACTCGGCCAGTGTATTTCAAGTATAGCATCAAAAACTTTTTTTTACAAGAATGAATGAGTTATCTTTTTTTGCTAAATGAGTGCAGCTAAATTTGACGTGTTAAACCCTACCTCTCTTTATGGATAAAAGTCAACAAGTGGCTGAAATTTTTGATTTTGAAAAAGAGCCCAATATTGGACCATTACATGCTACTTGCAATTCAACCGTCTATTATTGCACCGACCACTTCACGAAATAAATGAGGGAACTATGGAGTAGTTTGGATTTTTTCTGCTCAATTTTGAGTATCTCAAAGAGGTCTTGTAGGAGTTTAAGTTTGTTGTCATATCGAAGCCTTATTAGTCGTAATTCGGATTGCACGAATTCTTTCTCCCTTGTCAAGAAAAACTGGTCTGAATATATTGATTCTTCAGCTGGGGATATACTCGCTTTTTTATATCACGCTTTTATCTTTTTTAGTGTAAAAGATCAAAGTGATAGGTCGTGATGATTTTTTCAGTTTTTTTTTCTCAAAAGGCAAACTCCTTTGTCCAACGGCAACGCGAGTCACTTCTAGTTACACTCGCGAGAGCAAGTGTCTTGTAATCGTGAACTAGACTTTTGTTCCATAAACAACTTCTTACAAATCTATACGAAAATGTGAAGGCAAGTTGCTTTATTAGTGAACCTTAGCAATTTCAAAACTACTTCCCAATTTACCTAGAGGTGACGCAGTTGACTTCGTGCCCTAAGATCTGTGGTTCGAGTCTTGGCTGGACCTTATTTTTTTTCTGTTTGCCTGAAATAGTTTTTTTGTTTCAAGAAAATAGTTTGAAACAAAAGTTTCAAATTTTTGGGTGTTGTTTTTGGCGTTTTGTCAATTTTTTTACGAGTCGGAGGCTTTGTGTATTGCGTTGTGTATTGCCAAATTCGGTATCGCAAGTGGCGCGAAGCTCAACTTCGCCTCTGTGCTGCAATATAATGTCATTGGCTAAAAGGAAGGCAATTGACGCTGCTCAATTACGAAATAGGCACGAAAAAACGAAAACATTTTCTAGTCTCGAAATTAGACTTAAATTTAGGTTTACCAGCCGAATAAACATTTTCTTAGTTAGTGTTGTGAAAATGGGTTTATTTTTTTTCGGAAAAGTATCAGTCAAAAATTGTTTTTGAAACTCAAAGAGCTCGAAGGCTATGCATTTTTCTTTGAAAATCGAAAGTTTTTTTCCTATCTCCTTGCATTTATTGACTCTTTTACAACAGTCCGTTGGCTACATTTGAAATCGCTTAGCTATTACTCTTATTCTTGAAGTTTTTTCCAATCCACTACCACAGGAAACCAAAGAAAACTTATAAAAAATCAGATTATGTTTGCGTAATCTTTTTTACAACAGTAAATGCCTGCGTTATTATACTTATTTACTTTTGTAATTTTCTCATGAATCTATGCTGCTCATGTTCTGTTTTGCGAGCAAATTAGTGGCATATTTTATGGCACTCCTTGCTGCCTGGTGTTTATTATGAGAGAATATTAAGATAGCAAAGCGAATCAGTCTCCGGGGAAGGCAAATGATTTATAGCCTGGAGTTTTGACTTCCAAATCCCGTAACCGACTAATTTTTCAGTTTTTAAGTTATTCTAGTATTTGGTTAATTTGAAGCTCCCTTTTACAGCTGTTTTTTCTTGCTTTGTCAAGAACAGCTTCGTGACTTTTTTGATGTAACCGGGACGTTCTGTGAATTGATTATTAAAGTCTGTGCTACTTGCATAGCAAACTCTACCCTTGCACTTTTGTTAGATCACCATTTTGAGCAGTAAGGATTTAAGACGATTTCTAGAGGTTTTTTTTTGAAGTTTTGACTGCTTAGATATATTTAGAGTGAAGATTGCTTGAAACTCGGCCGGTGTATTTCAAGTATAGCATCAAAAACTTTTTTTAAATGAATGAATGAGTTATCTTTTTGTGCAGCTAAATTTGACGTGTTAAACCCTACCTCTCTTTGTTGATAAAAGTCAACAAGTGGCTGAAATTTTTGCTTTTGAAAAAGAGTCCATTATTGGACCATAGCATGCTACTTGCAATTCAACCGTCTATTATTCCACCGACCACTTCACGAAATGAATGAGGGAACTATGGAGTAATTTGGATTTTTTCTGCTCAATTTTGAATATCTCAAAGAGGTCTTGTAGGAGGTTAAGTTTGTTATCATATCGAAGCCTTATTAGTCTTAATTCGGATTGCGCGAAGTTTTTCTCCCGTGTCAAGTAAAACGGGTCTGAATATATTGATTCTTCAGCTGGGGATATACTCGCATTCTTATATCACGCTTTTATCTTTTTTAGTGTAAAAGAACAAAGTGATAGGTCGTGATGATTTTTTCAGTTTTTCTCAGAAGGCGAACTCCTTTGTCCAACGGCAACGTGAGTCACTTCTAGTTACACTCGCGAGAGCAAGTGTCTTGTAATCGTGAACTAGACTTTTGTTCCATAAACAACTTCTTACAAATCTATACGAAAATAAGAAGTTGCTTATTAGTGAACCTAGCAATTTCGAGACTACTTCTCACTTTACCTAGAGATGACGTAGTTGATTTTGTGCTCTTAGATCTGCGGATCGAGTCTTGGCTGGACCTTATTGTTTTTCTTTATGCATGAAATAGTTTTTTTTTCAGGAAAAATAGAATTGTCGGACTTTCGTTTGTCTGCTTATGTTTTGTCGTCTTAGTTGCCACGTCGGGAAATTTTGTTGTAAGGCCAGCAAATTTTATCGTAGATCCAAGTGATTTTGATTTACTTTCGAAATTTTTAAAATTAATAACCCTGATTAGTGTTTTTCGATTTCTTCTGAATTATTTTTTTCCCACAAAAAAGTTTTTTATTTCATTTTTGATGTTATTTTTGTCACATCACTTTGTGCTAGCTTGTACTGCGCTTGCATTGTATCGCAAGTGATGCGAAGCTTCACTTCGCCTGTGTTTCAAAAATGGATTTTAATTTTCTGAATTCTAAAAATATCTAGTGATCCAGTTTTCTTTAAATGTCATATGCATTATTTGAATTATTTCTCGAGTCATTAAATATACAACACTTTGTCCAATAAACAATGAAGTGGTTACTTCTGTTATTCGGATTCGAAGAAAACGCAGAATATAATGCTTGACGTGGCTTTTGTTCAGGCCAGTTTCGGCTTTTAAAAAGCGTTTTTGACATTTTTTTTTACACAATCTGAAAGTCATCTTGTCTTGAGCACAATTTGTCGCCGATTCATATTGGTTTGAATTTAAATCTACTTTGATGATTATAATTCAAATTAGGATAATTAACGCGCGATAAATTTCGTCCATATATCAACGCGTGAGCGTCGATTTAATACGACTCAAAAATCTGTTCCAGTCTTATTTGAGACAAGCACTTTCGAACGTTGCTAGACTCTAACAAAACTTCTCGTATATCAGGGCACAGCCCTGAATGTTCCGACTGCCATTTAATACATATCAAATAGTTTGCGAGAAATGAAAATATTGAAAAACTATAAATTTTGGACTCAATCAAATTTGAGTCGTACAAGTTTAGTACGACAAATTAGCAAGCCTAAATTCAATTTGGACCGATATTTTGTGCAGGATAATTCGCGTTACACTCTCAGCATTATGAATAAATACTTCAAAGCGCGCATAATTTAGTCCAGCATATGGCCAAATTGGCAATTTTCAAACTTCCAGAACTTTACAAAAATTAATCGAAGGTAACATATCTTTTTAGATTTGAACTCAGGAAGTTGATATCTTCAAAGGGGTATAAATTTTTCTTAAAAACTATTCCGATCGGCGAAAATTGACTGAATAATAGACTCCAACCCATGCATAAATAATCCGTTTTCTTCGAAAGTCGGAACAATAACATTTTTTGTTCTTTTATTACGAGGCCAAACTGTGCATTTTGTGCATTGTAAGCGGATTCCGCAACAAGGACGCTCCCTTTGTTCTTCTTTTGTTCTTTATTTTCCTTTGATCGTTCCGACTAAGTTTTCACATGTTTAAAGACTTGTATCTGGAACCCAGGCGCATACAGACACAAAATTGTGTGCCTATCCAGTGCGCAGTTTGGCCTCGTAATGTTATATCGCGTGTGGGGAACTTTTTTAAAATCATTTTTAAGCTTTCTTTTTTAAAAAATTGATTTAATCCCTGATCCTAATGACCTATTCCTTGGTCTTTAAGTGGCAGTTGGAGCATTCAGGGCTTAGAGCTGATACAAGCAGTTTTTCTTGTATAAATTTGTTTTTCGCTACTTGAATTTGATTCACATACTGCGTGTGTTGGAGTTAGCTAACCAGATAGTAAAATTAAAAGTGTTTTTGTCGTAGGTGGAAACCAAAGGGAGTTGGCCAAGGCGAAAAAGGTGAAGGACAACACTGCCAAGTCTAAAGCAAGTGCAAATGAGGGTCTCAACCGAGAACAAATCAAAGAAAGGTACAAATTATCATTTTAAACATTAACGGGAAGTCCATGACACCTTTTTCATAGATCCTTGAATATTACCAACTTGATTGTAACCAATGTTTATGTATAATGTATCGAACTTAGTTTATGTTTTATCAGGGATGCTGCTCGTATGCGGGAGAAACAGGAAAAGAATGCTGAGAAAAAAGGCAAAGGAGACTCCTCTAAATAGCATTATGCCCTCTTGCAATACAGTAACTTGAAATCCTGGTGAGCGGACACCTGAAAACTCTAGAAACACCTTCAAACCTTTGGTGTGCAGTGAAAGGTTCAGAGCAAATGATGTACATTTCGTTTTGATGAATGACTAGAATAATTAATCTCTACTGTTAGAAATATATTTTATACTTCGAATGTTTTGCGATGGATTATTGTTTTTCGAAATTGTAAAGTTTGACCATGTTTTTTTTCTCTTTGGAGCTTTTCGTTTTTGTTCTTTGAATTTTGAATTTGAATTTAGAGACAGTATAAAGATCACATATGTGTACTTAAATACTGCATCAAGGTTACTGTACGGGCAGTACAGCCCAACTAGCAGTAACCTAAGGGAAACCTAGATAAATGAGTGAGAGCAAAACCGAGTTAAAATATGAGGGTACACGAAATTTACCCTATAAACATGCCAACAAGTAATCGATTGTCATTTAAGTACACTTTTTTTTATTTCACGTAAAAGTGTTTCTTCTGTTTGTCAGTAAACTCGTTAAGGTTAAGAGGCAATAGGTTATTTGACATTAGGAAATTATAGCATTTCACAATTTTGTACGAAAGCGAATTTTGTGCTAACTTTGATTTTCTCAAAGGTAGGGGTATACAATCTAAACTATTCGACCGGGTACTACGACGCGTTTTTACATAATCAAGATTCAAAAATTTTAAAGGCGATTTTCCAAGGAACTGAAAAATTGTCTCGGAAAACAATTGGCTGATAAAAATTTCATGTACTCTGAAGTTTGAATTTTGAAAAATACTCCGACACATGATCATACTTTTGAAGGAAGAAAATGGTTCTTATGATTTTTTTCTGTGCCAAGAAAATTTTATCAAGGTTTGATTTCGATGTACATCCATAAGCTAATAAGCCATAAGAAATTAGTGGAATCACGTATGCAATGTAAAACTGAGTTAATGCCTGTTTAGAGAAACAAGATCTTCCTCGATATAAAACACCATTAAGTTTGGAAATTTTCGTGCAAACTTTTACAGTCTGCATATTGAAATTCAATTTTTTGTTAATTTCAATACCCAAATATTTGAAACTGTCTTTATTTTCCATGTTTTCACCAGCAATGGAAATTGAGTCATCAGGCATAGCTTTACCAAAACCCATCAGTTTACTCTTGTCTATATTAATCGATAACTTGTTGACATTACACCAGTCATTTAGGCTCTGAGTATCTGTTCTGAAATTTTTCAAAAACGCTCTCGTTTTACCAGAACCAACAACAGCAGTGTCATCGGCAAAAAGGCTTATCTCGGATGTCTTTGTTACATTTGAAATATCATTGATATAAATCAAGAACAATAAAGGACCTAAAACCGAACCCTGGGGAACTCCACAAGTTATTTTTTCAAATGAAGAATTTATGATACCATCACTTACAAATTGTACTCTGTTAATTAAATAATTTTTCAACAAATTTAAAAATTTACCACGGAACCCATATTTTTCTAATTTATTGATTAAGATATCGTGATCAACAGTGTCGAATGCTTTCTTAAAATCTAGAAAAAGTTCCATTTCACTATCTCTTCGTTCCAAAACTGAGCGCATATATTCGACTATACGTGAGATTGCCTGTACACATGAATGTTTTTGTCTGAAGCCAAACTGTTCAGGGCAAAATTTTATACTTCTGTAAAAATTTGACCATTCTTCTATAAATTAGTTTTTCTAAAATTTCGCGTATAGTTGATAGAAGGCTGATGGATCGGTAATTACCAAAATTAATTTCACTTCCACTTTTGAACAGGGCAATCACTTTCGATATTTTACAATCGTCAGGAAAAGACTCTGAGTCGAACATTTCATTAAAACAAACAACTAAGAGCTTCATAATGACTGGTGCACAAAGTTTAATCATAACATTACTCAAATCATCATGACCAGTGAGTTTTTGTTCATCAGTCGAGTTTTTGTTCATCAGGTTCTTAATAACCTTCGCCATTTCGAGTTTTTGTTCATCAGGTTCTTAATAACCTTCGCCATTTCATCAACATCAGTGGGAAAGAAAACAAAAGTATCAGAGTTTCGTGAATTTTTATCGTTGTATTTTAACTCAAACTCCACGAAGTTTTTTGAAAGTGTGGGTCCAATGGTAGCAAAAAATTTATTCATGTCATTCACCTCTAATTTCACGAATTGGATTTCTTTTTCCCACAAAATTTATTGAAAACTTGAAATATTTTTTTGGAATCATTACAACTTCCAAGTTGATTGTCATAAAACTTTCTTTTCTCCGTCATACTCAGCTTTTTCGCCTCATTTCTCAATTTTTTGAATTTAGCTTCTGTTTCATCGTTCGGAAGTGTTACCATTTTTTTGTGAGCAGCGTCCAGTTTTTTGCATATTTGTTTCACATTGTTGGAAATCCAAGATTTTTTGCAATTGTTTTTTAAAATCAATTGGTTTCAAAAGACAAATTTTATCGAAAACATTAATCATTGAATACGTTAAACCGTGGATTTTTGTATTTACTGATTCCTTATCACTCAACTTTTCAAATTCGACATATAGAAGAAATAATAACTTTAGTAGGTTGTCATCAAGCTTCAGTTTTTTAAAATTTCTGGTATAAATAACAGTTTTGAAAGGCATTTCAACCGAAAACGGCAATTCACCCAACAATGCATAGTGATCACTAATTGTGGTTTTGAATACTGTCACCGGATAAAAATCTTCTGTTATAAAGTTGTCAATGCATGTTGCGCTCTTTTCAGTAACTCTGGTTGGTTCTCTCAAACAAAAATCCAAATCGAAAGACTTTAAAAGCGTTTTATAACTTGTTTAGAGAAACAAGATCTTCCTCGATATAAAACACCATTAAGTTTGGAAATTTTCGTGCAAACTTTTACAGTCTGCATATTGAAATTCAATTTTTTGTTAATTTCAATACCCAAATATTTGAAACTGTCTTTATTTTCCATGTTTTCACCAGCAATGGAAATTGAGTCATCAGGCATAGCTTTACCAAAACCCATCAGTTTACTCTTGTCTATATTAATCGATAACTTGTTGACATTACACCAGTCATTTAGGCTCTGAGTATCTGTTCTGAAATTTTTCAAAAACGCTCTCGTTTTACCAGAACCAACAACAGCAGTGTCATCGGCAAAAAGGCTTATCTCGGATGTCTTTGTTACATTTGAAATATCATTGATATAAATCAAGAACAATAAAGGACCTAAAACCGAACCCTGGGGAACTCCACAAGTTATTTTTTCAAATGAAGAATTTATGATACCATCACTTACAAATTGTACTCTGTTAATTAAATAATTTTTCAACAAATTTAAAAATTTACCACGGAACCCATATTTTTCTAATTTATTGATTAAGATATCGTGATCAACAGTGTCGAATGCTTTCTTAAAATCTAGAAAAAGTTCCATTTCACTATCTCTTCGTTCCAAAACTGAGCGCATATATTCGACTATACGTGAGATTGCCTGTACACATGAATGTTTTTGTCTGAAGCCAAACTGTTCAGGGCAAAATTTTATACTTCTGTAAAAATTTGACCATTCTTCTATAAATTAGTTTTTCTAAAATTTCGCGTATAGTTGATAGAAGGCTGATGGATCGGTAATTACCAAAATTAATTTCACTTCCACTTTTGAACAGGGCAATCACTTTCGATATTTTACAATCGTCAGGAAAAGACTCTGAGTCGAACATTTCATTAAAACAAACAACTAAGAGCTTCATAATGACTGGTGCACAAAGTTTAATCATAACATTACTCAAATCATCATGACCAGTGAGTTTTTGTTCATCAGTCGAGTTTTTGTTCATCAGGTTCTTAATAACCTTCGCCATTTCGAGTTTTTGTTCATCAGGTTCTTAATAACCTTCGCCATTTCATCAACATCAGTGGGAAAGAAAACAAAAGTATCAGAGTTTCGTGAATTTTTATCGTTGTATTTTAACTCAAACTCCACGAAGTTTTTTGAAAGTGTGGGTCCAATGGTAGCAAAAAATTTATTCATGTCATTCACCTCTAATTTCACGAATTGGATTTCTTTCCCACAAAATTTATTGAAAACTTGAAATATTTTTTTGGAATCATTACAACTTCCAAGTTGATTGTCATAAAACTTTCTTTTCTCCGTCATACTCAGCTTTTTCGCCTCATTTCTCAATTTTTTGAATTTAGCTTCTGTTTCATCGTTCGGAAGTGTTACCATTTTTTTGTGAGCAGCGTCCAGTTTTTTGCATATTTGTTTCACATTGTTGGAAATCCAAGATTTTTTGCAATTGTTTTTTAAAATCAATTGGTTTCAAAAGACAAATTTTATCGAAAACATTAATCATTGAATACGTTAAACCGTGGATTTTTGTATTTACTGATTCCTTATCACTCAACTTTTCAAATTCGACATATAGAAGAAATAATAACTTTAGTAGGTTGTCATCAAGCTTCAGTTTTTTAAAATTTCTGGTATAAATAACAGTTTTGAAAGGCATTTCAACCGAAAACGGCAATTCACCCAACAATGCATAGTGATCACTAATTGTGGTTTTGAATACTGTCACCGGATAAAAATCTTCTGTTATAAAGTTGTCAATGCATGTTGCGCTCTTTTCAGTAACTCTGGTTGGTTCTCTCAAACAAAAATCCAAATCGAAAGACTTTAAAAGCGTTTTATAACTTAACACTTCTGGTTTTTCATCCTTGGCAAGAATATCAAAATTAAAATCTCCCACAATAACTGAATTTCCTTTCAAAAGTCGAAGTTCATTTAATAGATAATCCAGATTTTCTAGAAATGTTGAATATGTTTGATTAGGTGATCTATTGACCGTGCATATGTTAAAATAAGTTAGTTTTTTCCAAATAGTTATGGTAAGATACTCCAAATCAGAAATTAAACCCTGAAGAATAAATTCAACTCCCGTCCTGACAAAAAAATCTACACCGCCACCCCTTTTTTTCCCTATTTTTAAAAACCCGTTTTTGATACCCATCCAACTGAAAAAAGTCCAAAAAATCATTGTCAGTTAGCCATGCCTCGCAAAAAGCTATAACTAGTGGTTTTTTTTTGAGTGAATCAACCAAAACACATAGCTGGTCATGATGTAATCTGAGTGATCTTCTATTAAGAAAAAGCACACCCTCATTTCCCCAATATTTGGTTCCATTAGGTTTCCCAAAAAAGAACAGAACATTTAAAGCAAGAAGC